TTGAACAGGCCATCAAAAAACTCCCAACCGAAAGAAGTCCAGGCCCACATAGTGAGTTCTACCAAAAATTCAGGGAAGAGTTGTCACCAATTCTACTCAAATTATTCCAAAATATAGAAGAGGATGGAAAACTTCCAAATACTTTTTATGAAGCAAGCATATCCCTCATAACAAAACCAGGAAAGGACATCACTAAGAAAGAAAGTTACAGAAAAATATCCCTCATGAACATAGACAGAAAAATTCTCATCAAAATCCTAGCCAACAGTTTCCAAAAAATTAATCCATCATGACCAAGTATGGTTCATAAAATGGATGCAGGGATAGTTCAACGTTAGAAAAAACAATCAGTGTAATCCACCATATAAATAAGAAAAAGGAAAAGAACCACATGATCATATCAATTGATACAGAAAAGGCATCTGACAAAATCCAACATCCATTCTTGAAGATAACACTCAACAAAGTAGGAATTGAAGGGAAATTCCTCAGCATAATCAAGAGCGTATAAACAAAACCAACAGCCTACATTGCTCTCAATGGAGAGAAACTGAAAGTTTTCTTTCTGTGAATGAGAACCAGACAAGGGTGCCCTTTGTCACCACTCCTATTCAATATTGTTTTGGGAATCTTAGCCAGAGCTATACAGCAAGATAGGGAAATTAAAGGCATCCAAATTGACAAAGAGAAAGTAAAACTCTCTCTATTTCCAGACATTATGGTCCTATACAAAGAAAGCCCAAAAACTCAGTAAAAAAGCTACTAGACTTCAATGGAAGATTCAACAAAGTGGCAAAGTATAAGTTCAACACATAAAAATCAGTTGGATTCCTCTACAGTAGCAATGACAGTGCTGAAAAGGACATTAGGCAAGCAATACCATTTACAATAGCCACGCAAAGGATGAACTATCTAGGAATAAATGTAGCTAGAAAAACAAAAGACCTATACAAAGAAAACTACAGAACACTACTACAAGAAACCAAAGAGACTTACAAAAGCAGAAGAATGTACCATATTTCTGTATAGGAAGACTCAACATTTTTAAAATGTCAATACTACCCAAATCAATTTGCACATATAATGCAATCCCAATCCAGATTCCAACGACATTCTTCAAAGAGATGGAAAAAAAAATTACACACTTTATATGGAAAGGAAAAAGTCCCAGGATAAACAAAGCACTGCTTAAGAAGAAGAACAAGGTTAGAAGCCTCTCACTCCCCGGTTACAAAAATACTACATGGTTACAGTTGTCAATACAGCCTGGTACTGGTACAATGAAAGACACATTGATCAATGGAACAGAATCGAGAATCCAGAAATTAACTCATCCACATACAGCCAACTGATTTTTGACAAAGTGCCTAGCTATATTGCATGAGGAAGGAGATACTTTCTTTAACATATGGTGCTGGCAGAACTGGGAAGTGATATGAAAAAGATTGAAAGAAGACCTTTACCTCACACCCTATTAAAAAACCAACTCATCATGGATTAAAAACTTAGATGTGAATCCCAAAATTATGAAGGTTATCAATGAAAACAATAGGGACAAATGTGAGGGCTCTAATTCAGGGCATACACAGACTACCAAACATTTTGAAAACTATACAAACAAAAATAGACAAAATAGATGATTGTGACATACTGAAAATTAAAAACTTATGTGCATCAAAAGATTACACCAAAAAAGTAAAAAGGGAATCCACAGAATGGGAAAAAAATATTTTGCAACGACAAATCAGACAAGAGATTCATTTCTAAAATATATAGGAAACTACAACACCTCGACAAGAAAAAGACAAATAACCCAACTTAAAAATGGGCACAGGACATGAACAGACACTTCACCAAACAAGAGATCTGGGAATCCAACAAACATATGAAGAAATTAGAGAGATGCAAATCAAAACAACAATGAGATATCATGTCACACCAGCAATAACAGCAAAGATCAAAAAAGTAGAGGACAATAAATGCTATCAAGAATGCTGAGAGACTGGGACCCTTCTACATTGTTGGTGGGATTGCAAAATGATCCAACCACTCTGGAAAGCAATATGGCACTTCCTCAGAAGGTTGGAAATAGAAATACCTTATGATCCAGCAATTCCACTACTTGATATTTATCACAAGAAATATGAGCTATAACACAAGTACATATATGCACACCAATGTTCATAGCAGCACTATTTACAATAGCCAAAAGATGGAGACAGTCTACCTGCCCATCAATTGGAGAATGGATAAACAAACCATGGTACATACACTCATGGTACATACTATGCTACCTCGAAGAATAACAAGGAAGCTGCAAGCCACCACATAACTTGGATGAACCTTGAGGACATTATGCTGAGTGAAATTAGTCACAAATGGAGAAATACTGCATAGGACCATTATTTTAAAAGATTAAGTAAAAGAACCCATCCTAAAGAGGAAAAAATAAAATTGAATATATATTTGCTGATCATCAGGATGTATGGGATGTATGGGATGGTGATGGGAGGGAGGGAGAAGAAGATAGAGCACAGGGTAGGGAATAGGAACAGGATAGCTTGAGTGCTGAGGGAGTGGGGCTTGGGCAATACACAAGAAGGGGGAGGAGAATGGAAGAACAAGGTGGATGGGAGAACAGTTAGGCAGGTTTGCATGGGCTAAGTGGGTCAGAGTTAAATGATGATGTATGCATAACCTTGGAACAACAGGGCTCCAGGATACAGTGATTGAGGCATAGTTTTAATGTGTGAAAGAGGGGAATACTGTTAAGATGATTGGCTGTCTTTTGAATCTTGGTTTCCCTTGTGTACAATTGTAAAATAGACACTTGTGGGGGAGAGAATGGAATAGCCAGAAACATCACAATAGGAAGCTTGTAAGTCTGTCTTCAGCCTATAACTGTTTGGAATACCTTAAAGGAGGCTAGAAGTTGCCCAGTGAAAGAGGCTTCTTGTGGATCCATTGCATTGCATAAGACCATGCATAGGTGGAATCCTGAACCCCATCCAGAATCGTCAGAGGTGGGAAATTTCCAATTGAAAGGACAAGTAAACCAGCCTGGAGCAGCTAGAAGAACAGAAGATATGTTGTGAAAGAAGGACTGGCAGGAAAAATAAAAAACAATATTGGCAGTCCGGTTTATTACTACAAAAACAAGAAAGCTGTTCACCTGGGAACCATCAAGCAAGTGGTTGGGGCCCCTCAGAGCAAACCCCCTTCCAAGACTAAGACTCAAGGGGAATAAACGAGCAGGCATGTGGTGTCGCTGGTTGCCAAATTGGTCACCAATAATGGAAAGAGGGGGAAAAACAGCAATGAAGTTGGGAGCTAAATCTGACCACATTCAACAGACTCCTGTGAACCCGGGTTGGCCAGCAGTATAGCAAGACCCAGAGACTCCTGGCCCCAGAGACAGTGATGTGGCCACAGAGGATTAGAGTGGTGAGCAAAGTGTCCAGCTGATATGAAGTGAGTGGAGATGCACAAGAACACCCATACTTGCAGATAGTACCTACTTGACTTGGCTTCAATGGTTGCATGATCAGAACTCGACTAGGAAAAAGAAAGTAGTGGAAAAAAAAAAAAAAAAGAGTAAGCCACTACAATTTGATTAATTTAACTATGCTTATAAGGAGCTCTGGTAGCGTAGTGGTTACGAATCGGGCTGCGAACCTTAAGGCCAGCAGTTCGAAACTGCCAGCTGTTCCGCAGGAGAAAGATGAGGTGTTCTCCTCCCGTAAAGATTTACAGCCTCGGAAACCCTGTACAGGGTCGCTATGGGTCGGAAACGACTTGACGGCACTTAACAACAACAACAACAACAATGGATGTAGTGGCTCAAAAAAGGGACCAAATCTTTACAAGGAGGATGACTCCCACCCCCTCAGTACACAGGGTTGACAGGCATGGACAACTTAGACATTGGCTACACAAAATGGAGGGGCTACAAAAGCTGGCTTACAAGCTTTCAAGAGGGAACCTAGTTCCAGATGGGGTGGGGGAAGGTAGCATCTCCACTGAATGGTTTCCAATCTGTTGGGACCCATGCTAATGAAAGGAGATAGGAATAAGACTCTTGTGGTACAATAGTAAATAATTGCTATCAGGACCGACTATGAAGGTTGGAAATGTAAAGGTAGATGTTTTGTAACAAAAGGAGGGGAGTGATTGATTTTGCAGTCCAGGAGTGGATGCCCCTGGGATTATCAAATGAGAAGATCGGAGTGCAGGACCCTACCCAGAGAAGTTGTGACATCAGAAATGGATGCAGCGATGATGGCATGGACAGATGGAGCAGCTGGGGACACAGGACTCAGGAAGGGAGAGGGGCTGTGTGCTGAAAGCCGGGGGGCAGACGTGTGGGGTGTACCCTTTGGTTGTTTGATGATGCATTGAGGGGATTGTAATCATTGCAATGAAACAAAATACAATAAGATGAATGTAAAATTGATGTTCTCCCATGTAAACCCATATAATTCACAATAAATACTTTAAAAACAAAAAAGAAAGAATGGAGTGAATCTGCAGGAAACTTAGGAAAGAAAGTGTCTGAATACCAGTGTGGTTTCTAGAGTCTCAATCTTATTTACTTAATGGTCTTTCATTTTGGAGTGAAAGTTAATCTTGGTTAAGAGGAGAGACTCATGAATACCTGAGGTGGATTAAAGACACATGTAGACTATGTAACTCCACAATACAGAACTGGTCCCAGGGACTGGAACTTGAAAACTTATTAAGAATAATCCCAATAATTAAAACTATTCAACATTAAGAGAGATCGCCACCTCTGAAAATTAGTGCCCTTAAAAAGGCTCATGTAGAAGCAGCATATCATTTGTTAGGGATGTTTCTAGAGGAAATATTTTCACTGGGTGAAAGTTAATCTGAATGACCACTGAGGTCCTCCATAACCATGAAAATCTATATTTCGATGGGACCAATGGAAGTAGATTTGAGACCCAATTATATTATGTGACATTTGCCTATTTATGTTCTAGTATATCAAATAAGTTCTTCCAAAAGAACGCCAGACGAATTGGGGGCACTTACTGGAAAGTCCGTTATGAAGCTTTCCAAGATGAGACATTCCAGGAGAGGATGAAGCTGGAGGAAGAAAAGCATCTGGGAATCTTGGGTAAAACAATTCCTAATTTAAAAAATTGATTGATTAGAGCCACAGAAGTGGGGAAGGCTTGGAAACTGACTTTTCTGTGATCTTTCACATGCACATTCTAGGCCAGCATTTTCCAAAGTGAGTCCCAAAATATGAGTGTTACATGAAGACTTTGCAAAACACTAGATTAAGCATAGTTAAACTGTTTTTTGTTTTGTTTTGCTTCAGAACTTCTCAGAGCTTTTTGTATATTCTTGTTCATCATAGATTTCAAGATGAGAATAGTGTGTAGTATTTCTCATCCTTACTTTGCAATTTAATCTTTTGTCAATGAACATTTACCATTACCACTACTGTACAGACCACACTTTTAAAAATTGTTTTTCTGGGGTTATTACTGGGGGCATTGCTAGATAAAGCAATAATACTCTCCAGGTGTGTAGCAATATGGGGCCAGGAGCATGTTGGCATGAGATGCAGACATGCTTGCTAAGATGAGGGTGCAGAATCATACTTATAGATTGAGCCTGGAAAAGATATCTAAGACGTGTAAATAAAAGTATTGAGATAGTATGACAAGATTAGGTATGGTTGGTTACTTGAAAAAAAAAATAGATTGAATAAGGTAAAACTTTAGAAATATGTGATATAATGAACCCTACTCTGGAGCCCTGGTGTGACACTATGCGTTAACATGCTGGACTGCAAAGTCAGTTTAAACCACAAGGTCAGTGGTTCAAGCTCACCAGTAGCTCTAGAAAACCCTATATAGGGTTGCTATGGGTCGGAACTGACTCAAGGGCACTTAACAACAACAACAACAACAGCTCTGGAGATAGGTATTTGCAAGTGTTATCTAAGAAATCTGAATATGGACAACAGGTTGTATATCAGCAGGGAAGAGAAATAAAAAGAGCAGAAACTCACCCTAGGAAAAGGGCTGGCAATAAGTATCAAGCAATTATCTTTGCCTTGGGTTCAGTATGAATACCCAGTCTTTAATCAAAGGTGGAGCATTAGATATGGAAATTTAGTAGACACCACTATTTAGGCTTAGAGCTAGCATAAGAGTTCAGGGAACTTCCAGTTGATCTCAAAGTAGACCAAATCTAGGTAAAAGGCAGTGGGTAGTGGAATACACAGAAGCCCATGGGACATGGCTAGTACAGAGTATGGATAAAAGGTATAATAATTTTCTTTGGTCATAATTGGTTTTAGGTTTGCGGGAACATTATACACTTAAATGTGTTCTATCAGAAGCAGCCCTGGTGACACAATGGTTAAACTCTTGGCTATCAAACCAAAGGCCGGTAGTTCAAGTCCACCTAGTTGTTCCCTGGGTAAAAGACCTGGCAAAACCACCTCTGTATATATTGCTGTTATTGTTATTAGGTGCCCTTGTGTTGGCTCTGGCTCAAACAACCCTATGCACCACAGAAGAAAACACTGTCCAGTCCTGCACTATCCTCATAATTGTTGCTATGTCTGAGAATATTGTTGCAGCTACCATGTTAAGTGGCCTCTTCTTATTTTGTTAGAGGTCTTCCTCTTTTTTCCCTGACCCTCTACTTTCCAATAGATGATATCTTTTTCCAGAGACTTATCTCTCCTGATAATATGTCCAAAGTATGTGAGACAATGTCTCACCATCCTCACTTCTAAGAAGCATTTTCGATACACTTCTGAAAGAGATGTTAAGATTGCAGCACAGAAAATCTCATGAAGCAGTTTTCTCTGTCACATGGGCAAACTATGAGTCAGAATTAACTCAATGACATCTAACAATAATAGCATTAAAAGATGCTGTTATTGTACAAAAGAACTAGTATGATTAAAAAGAACTAGTATGATAAAGTTAGGGTATATAGGATTGGATCTGACAGCAAGGTAGGGACAAGCTTTGACTTTACATCCTGCCTCTTCTAATCAGCCATGTGAACTTGGGCAGGTCATTTCCATCTCTCTGAGCTGTATTTACCTCATCTATGAAATAGAATCCTGGTGTGGCACTGTAGGATAGTGCATTGAACCACAAGATCAGTTTGAACCACATAATTGGTGGTTCAAACTTACCAGTTGTTCTCCAGAAACCCTATATAGAGTTGCTATGGGTCGGAACCAACTTGACAGCACTTAACAACAACAAGATAGAGATAATAGCTCCTATCCTGTATACCTTAGAATGATGTTTGATTATGAAAATAAGACATGTTGTTGTTGTCGAATGCTGATGAGTCAATTCTGACTCACAGCGGCCATATATAGGGTTTCCCAGGAGTGACTGATGGGTTAGAACCATAGACCTTGCAGTTAGCAGTCCAGTGTTCTACATCACTACACCAGGACTCCAAAAATAAGATGTTGTATCTGAAAGTGCTTTTTATATAGCATATGTAGAATTTCTCATACTGCAAATAGCAATATCATTAGAAGAGATTATTCTTATTTTTGTGAAAAGATGAGTGCTTAATCTTTTTCAATTTTGTTCCATTTTGCTTTTCCTTACTATCCTAATTTTTGTTTTGTGTTCATCACTATTTTCATTCTAATTGTCTTTCCTTCTCATTTTTCAGGGCCAGTGATACGGGCTGAGGTGGGTGACATCATCCAGGTAGTCTTCTACAATCGTGCCTCTCAGTCATTCAGCATTCAACCCCATGGGGTCTTTTATAAGAAAGACTACGAGGGCACTGTGTACAATGATGGTAAGCAGGAAGAATTCTAACACATGTGGGCTGCAGGTGGTAGTAGGTAGCTCTAGAAGGCAAATAAAGGGGAGAAAGGAGGGTTAGAAATGGAAGCAGAATAAGTTGCATTGGGTGGATATTGTTGAACAAATGAAAAGTAATATATTGAGGGAGAGTTAGAACCAATATAATAATCTTTTATCTTTAAGTGTATTTGATTTTTTAAAATGATGTGTATTATAGAATTTTGGAAAATCATGAATTATAAAGGAAATAAACATGATTCATAGATAAATCTCCATGTACATTTTAATATAACATTTTTCTGTGCTTATAAAAATACATATATTTATAAATTTGAGGTCTATTCTCACTTTGGTATTATTGTTGGTTAAGTGGTAAAATTCTGGAGGCATAGTGAGTTACAAGTTGGGGTGCTAGCCATAAGGTGGTCAGCAGTTCAAATCTACCAGGCACTCTGTGGGAGAAAGAAGAAACTTTCTGCTCCCATAAGCATTTATAGCAAATATCACTCATCTGTCAGTGGAAGCTTGCATGTTGCTAAGTCGCTGAACAAGTCTCAATGGAGATTCCAGACTAAGACAGACAAAGAAGAAAGGCCTGGTGATCTGAATCTGAAAATCAAACAATTAAAATTGTATAGATCTTAACAGACTAATCCTATTGTATGTGGGGTCACCATGAGTCAGAAGCTGACTTGAGGGCAGCAACATTTTCCATGGCCACATGCTCATGTCATTATTATGTTATAAACATTTAAAAAAATATGTAATACTCTGTCACATGGATTTCCCATAATTTATTTACCTTATCTTCTATTGTTTAGACATGTAGGGGTTTTTTTTTTTCCCAATATTTTTGAATATCATAAGCTATGTTGCAATTGCATGTATACATCTTGGTTTGCAGTTTAGATTATTGTATTAGGAAAGAAATCTAGAAGTGGAATTATTAATTCTTTGTTTTCTTTGAGGATAATGTTAACACGTGCTGATTCTAGACAGAAAAATACGAAACAATACTGAAAGTATAAAAGGTAAAGTTACAGACAAATCTAGAATTAAAAAAAAAAAATTCGACAAGCCCACTCATCTGACCTATTCAAGAAGTCAATGTCATGGAGGAAAATATGCTAAAGAAACAACAATCAAATGCAAAATGTAAACCTTGGTTGAACACTTGCTATAGAATAGAGTTTTAAGAAAAAAGTTTGAAGATGATTTGAAAATCCTTGGTATAGACTGGATATTAGATAACATTAGGGAATTTTCTTAGATGTGCTAATGATATTGTGGTAATATTGCAGATGTTTGCTGGTGTATTTAGGGGTAAAATTTCATGATATCTGCATTTTCCCCAAATGGTTCAGCAAGCACAAACAAAAACTGTGTGTTTTTGTATAGATAAATATATGGTGTTAGTGTTGGTGTGTCATCAAGTCAGTTCTGAATCATAGCAAACCTGCATAGGGTTTCCAAGGCTGTACATTTTTACGGATGCAGAAAGCCTCGTCTTTCTCCAATGGAAGGGCTGTTAGTTTTGAACTGCTGGCCTTGAGGTTAGTAATAAGACTCATAACCATTATGTTACCATAGCTCCTTTGATAAATACATACCTAAATGTAAATAACATAAACATGGCAAACTGTAAGCAAAAAACAACAACAACAAAACCCAAAGTGGTAGATGATAGAGTGATAATTACACTATTCTTTAAAATTTTCTGTATGTTTTAAGATTGACTGAGTAAGAAACAAAGAATGAATAAGAAAAAAACCTTCTCAAATTATACTACTCTTCTATAAACTATAAATATCCCTGTATAATGCATCATTGCACTTTTGTAATTATTTTTAAAATACATTTCTAAGATATGGGAATACCTGTGTCAGAAGGTAATATTTTAATGTTGTCCATCAAGTCTATTCTGATTTGTAGTGATCCTAGATGAAAGAGTCCTGGTGTGGCACTGTGGATTAATGTGCCACACTGCAAAGCCATATGAACTGCAAGGTCAGCGGTTCAAGCTCACCAGTTGCTCCTGAGAAACCCTATACAGTGTCGTTATGGGTCAGAATCAACTTGACAGCACTTAACAACAACAACAAATATGAAAGAGGAGAAGAATTGTCCCATGTGGTTTCCTAGGCTTTAATCTTTGAACCCTGTTGTGGAGCTGTAGGATAAGCATTGGATTGCTAACCACAAGGTCATTGTTTCAAATCCACCAGGCACTCAAGTCAATATGAGTCACAACTGACTCCACAGCACACATAACAACAATCTGTAAGAGAGTGGATTGCCAGCTCTTCTCTCCTATGAAATGCCTGGTGGGTTCAAACCATTTTTATGTTAGCAGTTGAATGCTTAAAGAGGGTTATATCCGAGTGCTCACTGGAGATATTTTCCAGTCCCAATAATTTTCAATTTCATAAGCAAGGATATGAGAAAGCCCTTTTCTCACACTTTCACTAGCACTGTTGCCATCTTTTAAAATTTAGTTCTGTTTTGAAAAATTATATGAGAGTAAGTAAAAAAGTATCACTACTAGAGTTGCAATTCAAACATGCTTGAGTTTATTCTAAATAAAACATGTTTAAACATGTCTCTACATCAATTCTTCTTCTGTCTTCCTTATTATAATAGCTCCCATATCCATATGAAATGATTGAAAGTATTATGGCTTCAGTCAGGTCCACCTTAGTCTTGAAAGTAACACCTTTCACTTTAAAGAAGAGGGGTTTTTTTTGCAGCATATTTGCCCAATGCAATGTCTTTTGATTTTGTGACTGCTGCTTCCATGACCATTGGTTGCAGATGCAACTAAAATGAAGTCATAGATAACTTTCAACTTTTTTTTCCATTTATAATGATGCTGTTGCTTATTGGTTCAATTGTGAGAATTTTTGTTTTCTTTATGTTAAGATATAATCTATACTGAAGTCTAAAGGATTTCAACCAAGATCCATCTGAAAGCAGCAATGATTGCCCTTGTTCCACATCCTCTTCTGAATCCAACTTAACATTTCTGGCAGTTCTATGTTGATGTATTGTTGCAGCCATTTTTTAATTTTCTTCAGCAAAAATTTCCTTGTATGTGATATTCATGATATTGTTCAATGAATTCTGCATTCTGTTGTATCTCTTCTCTTTGGAAGAGTCACAAATATGGATCACTTCCAATTAGTTGGCCATGTAGCTGTCTTCCAAATTTCTTAGCATACCTGGGTGAGTGCCTCCAGTGTTGTATCATTTTGTTGAAAGATTTCAAATTGTATTCCATCAGTTCTTGGAGAGTTTTTCACCAATGTCTTCAGTGCAACATTAACTTCTTCCTTCAGTACCATTGGTTCTTGATCATACAGTATCTCTAGAAATGGCTGAACATCAACCATTTCTTTTTGGTACAGTGACTCTGTGTATCCCTTCCTTTCTGCATCATTTAATATTTTGCCCATGGAATCCTTCAATATGACAAGTCGAGGCTTGAATTTTTTCTTTATTTCATTCAGCTTGAAAAATGCTGAGGGTGTTCTTCCGTTTTTGTTTTCTATCTCAAGGTCTTGGTACATTTGATTATAATATTTTACTTTGCCCTCTGGAGCTGCCCTTTGAAATTTTCTGTTCAGTTCTTTGACTTCCTCATGTTTTTGATTTGCTTTAGCATCTCTGCACTGGAAAGTATGTTGTTTTTGTTTTTTTATAAATGTTTTATCGTGAATTATGTGATAGTTTACATGGAAGAACATTAGTTTTACATTCACTCTATCGTATATCATTTCATTGCCACGGTTACAATCCCCTCCATGCATCATCAACCAACCAAAGGGTATACCCTGCAAGCCTACACCCCTCCACCAGGTCATCAACACACAGCCCCTCTCCCTCTCTGGATCTCAAGTCCGCAGCTGCTCCATCTCTCCATGTCATCGTCTCTGCCTCCATCTCAGGCATCACTGCTTCTCTGGGTATGGTCCCACTCTCTGCTCTTTTCCCTTGATGGTCCTAGGGACCTCCGCTCCTAGACTGAAAAGTTAATCACTCCCCTCCTGGCTATAAAATGTCTACCTTTACATTTCCAACCCTCACAATCAGTCCTGATAACAATTATTCTCTATTGTATCACAAGAGACATATCTGCATTTCATTTCATCAGCCCTGCTTAGACAGATTGGACACTACTCACTGGAGAGTCTACATTCCTCCACGCCCTATGGATCTAGGTTCCCTCTTGAAAGCTTGTAAGCCAGTCACTTCTTGCCTTTGTAGTCCCCCCCACCCATGTTGGGTAGTCAATGTCCAAGTTGCCCATCTCTGTCTACTCTGTGTATGTGGAGGGGGTGGGATTTTTTTCCTCTTTTGAGCTACTGCTTCTATGTAGGTCAAGTTCATCAAATTGTACCAGATTACTCTTTTTTTCCTCTTCTTTCTTCTTCTGGTTGAGTTCTGATCATCCTGTCATTGAAGCCAGGTCAAGTGGGTATTATCTGCAAGTGTGGGTGTTCTTGAGCATATCCCCTCTCTTCTTATCAGCTGGACGCTTCACTCTCCACTCTAGTCCTCTGTGGCTGTGCCACTGACTCTGAGCCCAAGAGTCCCCAGGTCTGACCACACTGATGGCTGACCAGGTCTCTACCCAGGTTCACAGGAGTCTATTGAACATTGTAGGGCTTAGCTTGCTGCTTCATTGCTGTTTTTCCCTCACTTCCCCTTATGGGTGACGAGCGTGGTCACCAATCAGAGCATGTATTCCCATTGAGTCTTAGTCTTGGAAGAGGGTTTGCACTGAGGGGACCTGACCACTTGCCTTGATGTCTCCTGGGCAAGCAACTTGCTTGTTCTTGTAGTAACAGTCGGTCTGCCTCTATTGTTTTGTATTTTTCCTGTAGGTCTTTCTTTCCAGAAATATCTTCTGTTCTTCTAGCCACTCCAGGCTGGTCGGCTTGTCCTTTCAAGTGGAAATTGCCCATCTCTGAAGATCTGGCTGTGGTTCAGTCT